GATATAGACTTTCCAAGTACATAAACATTTCAGTTTTGACCATAAGTTAAAGAAAATAGGATACAATTTTATTTGGTGAATAAAATTTCAGATAAGTTAATAAAGACTGGTCTTATCTACGACTTTCATGAATTTAGCTGCTTAATTTAGTTTTATAAACCCAACGCTACTTGTTATAACCTTCTAGTGACTACCTGATATAACCGAAGTTATATATAGGTACACGCTTGTACAATTCATGGTGGTCACTTAGTTTTTCGGTAAATGGAAACTCCAGTATTGCAATGGCCACCCTGAACCCTTTTCTATCCTAATCCAACTTCCCCCAACATGACACGTCGAGTTAGGCGTTGGCTGTCCATGCGTAGTACATGTCCAAGCCATCTCATTCGACTAATATTCACAACCTCATCAATCAACCCTCCAACCTTGAATAATACTCTTCTCCTGACCTCAACAATATTGACATAGTGATTCCACCAAACCCAAACAATGCTTCGAAGACATGTGTGGGCGAAACTCTGCAATTGCCTTGTGTCTTCTACTTTTATCGATCACGTCTCACAGTCGCATAATTGGATATAATGGATGGCAGCGCAGTATACTCGTCTTTAGGTGGATAGTCGGATATCTGGGCAGTTGGCGCTAAACATGATGCGAGTTGGCGAATGCCCAACAGGCCGTTTGTACCCGAGCTGGGATTTCGTCAGCAACCAGTACGTTCGGGCTGATGCAACTCCCCAATTAATTGAAGTCGTCAACACATTCCACCACTTCACTCTGTATCATCAAAGCGAGAGTTATTGCAAGAGACTGGTATTGGAGAACCAAAGATTACATTTGACAGGTGCCAGCGAAACGCATACCAAGCATACTGAAATTTCTACTTAGCGCGTTCACACGAACTTGAATCCTGTTGGCGTCTACACCTATCAGGACAATATCGCCTTTCATATTTGACAGTATGTCAAACTGCGAAAGAAAAAATATTTTGCCACTTTTTACGTACTATCAAGGCGTGAGTAGTACAAATCTATTTTGAGAAACTACTCACTGATTAATGGAAAATTGAAAAACAACTCGAATTGTAAAATGCCATTAGAGTCAGTGTTCTGCTACTACAATCTTCATCACTTCATTAGCATTTGACCTTGTTCAGTGAGTGTTTTTGGTAAGAGAAGGCAAACTTATGAACATAGCACACAGTGATATAGTATTATTTACTAGATGATATCTTGAGCTTCACATAATAAGGTTATCACACAACCTGAATTCAGTTTTATAGTCCTACTGCTTTTCGTGATTTGACTTCATTGGTAGTTGAACTTTCTGATTATTTATGGTCACTAACAGATTATTCCTATTTAAAAAGTCTAGTTTTTATAAACAGTGTACGTAGACTCTTACGTTAGATAGAAATGCTCTTCTGTTGCACAAACATGGATCCCTTAATAATACTTAGGAGAATTCAGGATGCTGACTTTTTTACACCCCATGTTTTAAACCAGGATGATTTAATCCTAAAGCTGTTATTGGCCATCTAGAAAACATTACTTATTTGAACAAAGAAAACAATTAGGTCAAACAGATTTGTATGCACATGGCTTCGTAGCATTTCGTGAAATCGATAACCGATGACCGATCACGTTCGAAATAATTATTGAAATCTAATTAGCAGTCCATGACGAAATCGTCACCTCAATAAACAGATTGACAAACAAGTTGACATTTGATGCTTTGAAAAAACTTGAGGATTCGGTAAATAATATTCATTATTTTACCATTAATAATCCCCCGGGTTCCCAGTGCAACGTCCCCACTTCACTCTCTTCTATCCAGTCTTTTCAACCTGGCTACACAACTGTCCACAAGCTTTCATTTCTTCCTCACACCATCTCCTCCATGTCACCCTCGTCTCGAACGCCCAACTCGTCGTTTCCCCTTCGGATTCCACTCGACGGTCTGGTCTGGTCTAGCCTGGCCTGGCGCGTGATGTCCCCGATCGGCCTACTCAGAGTATGCCCAATACAATCCATCTCCACTTCCTTCTGCATATTTGTTGGGCCATAGGTTCTTGGTTGGTTATTTACCAGGCCAGAGTTCCTTGTTGCTTATTCTTCCTGGCTATCTGAACTTCAGTAACGAGCGTAAGCAGTTGTTAATGAATGTCTGTAGTTTGTTGGAAATGCTTCTCGTAACGCGCCGCCAAGTCTCTCAACCATCACATAGAAGCACTGACTTACTTGACTGAATTAGTGTTGAAAATCCGGATCTTGTTCACACTTTAGGCTAAGTGAAGTGAAGTGAAGTGCAGTGCAGTGCAGTAGATCTCCACACTGACTTCAGATTAATGAGGGAAGGCCTGTCTTCTTGTGTTTCTGATCCTGGCTTTGATATCCTCATCTGTGCCGCCGCCTGTAGTTGAAACAGTGCTGCCTAGATAGATGAAAGAGACTACTTCCTACAAGTTTCTCCCGTTGATGGTTCTTGTTGTTGTTGGTTGAGTATCTTCATCACCTCTGTCTTCTCTACGTTCACGTGAAGGAAGTCCCGTCTTCGCTGCCTCTTCTATCAACTTGTTAGCTTTTGCCTGTAGATCTTCGAGTTTGTGCCACAAGACATTGGACATAAATCATCATCAGCGGCGAAATCCAAATCTTCTAGGATCTTTTCCCCGGTCCAGCGTATCCCCCTCTTCTCGCTCCTCACTGTTTGCTGCATGATCCAGTCGACCACAATCAGGAAGATCATCGGTGATAGTAGGCGGCAACCTTGTCTTACTCCCCCTCTTCACTTCAAAGGCGTCACTGAGCTTCCCATTGTGAATTACTTGGCATGTGGCGTCTTCATATAGTTGTTAAATGAGGTTGATAAAGGTTTGTGGCACTAAACGCGTAGCGTTGAAGCGGCTGCCTGCCAAATTGTTTCTCGGTCAATGCTGTCGAAGGCCTTTTCAAAATCGATGAAGTTGAGGTAAAGACCCAGTTGACTGCCATCCTATGCTCTTTTCTATGATGATGCGTAGCGTGGTGTTGCAATTTCATCCCAGCATGATCTGTTCTTCCTGAAGGCAGCCAGCCAGCCAGCCTGTTCCGGTCCTAATCCATTTGAATCCAGTGCATCTTTTAGTCTCTCCAGGATGATACGGCTTAATATTTTGCTTGGTGTGGACAGTGGTGTAGCATGACACCGCGCCATTCCTTGCAAAGACTTATATCGTCCTTCTTCCAATCAATAGGCAGGTACCTTTCCTTCTTTCTTTGCAAACCTTCTGCAATAGTGGTGTGAACATGTTCGCTGTTGTCTTTGCGTCTGTTTTCAGTGCTTCTGGAGGAATTCCATCTGGTCCTGCTGCTTCCTCGGCTTTCAGCAACTTCATGTCGTTCAGGACTTCACTTTTGCTTTGTCGGAGGGTTTACGTTCACTGATAGTTGTGTGGCTGGGCTGCTGGTGGTATTTCTAGACGAGTTGCAGGTGGCGGCGGTGGTCGATTCAAGTTTTTTGAAATGGTCAAACCATCGTTTCCCTTGTTTCTCCTCTTTGGTAACTGAGTTTCTTTCACTAACTCTCATTGGTTTCATCTGTGTTGATCTCTTCCCAGGTAGTAACCTGGTTGTTTAATATAGTGTTGTCAGGTCTCTCCTGTCAGCAACCTGTTCTGCTTCACTTGGCAGTGTGTCGTAGAAGTGTCTCATGTCTTTCCGTGCACTCTTCTTCACTTCTTTGTCCAGTGTAGTGTTTTATACGTTGTACTCAGTTCCTGTTTTCGTTGTGTATCCTTGCACTGATTTGTCTTCTACTTCACCATCCTCCTCTCCTCTATCAGCTTCCATGTGTCCATCGAGATCCATTCCTTATCCTCTTTCTTCTTCCTTCCTAATACGGTTGTGCATGTTTCTTTCCACATCTCTTTCACAGAGTTCCAGTGTTCATCCACGCAGGTTGCTTCAGGGATGTTGCTTAATGTCTCCCATCTTGTCCTGATGGCTGACGTGAAGAGATGCCCTTTGTAGTTTCGTCCTTCAGTTCAGTTTCTCTTCTGGGTATTGAACTTGGACTGTGGTCTGCTCCCAGTTTCATATTCATGTCACCGCACCAATTAGAATTTTGATGTCGCCAAATGGAGTCTTTTGCAGTACTGATGGCATCTGTCGGTAGAATTCCTCCGTCTCTTGATCTGCATTATTTTTAGGTGAGTAGTATTGTATGATTCACCAAATCGTTGAATGCACAGAATTCTGCAAACAATTCTTCATCCTCGTTCATCACCTCACCGAGCGCTTCTCGACCCATGGTTAGTTCTCTTCCTGTGTTTTCCGCTCCCAGTTTGACATTCGTGTCACCTCACCCATTAGAATTTTAATATCGCCAAATGGAGTCTTTTGCAGTACTGATGGCATCTGTCGGTAGAATTCCTCCGTCTCTTGATCTGCATTATTTTTAGGTGAGTAGTATTGTATGATTCTGACTTTTCTTCCTTTTCAGTTGGCTTGTACACCAACAAGGAACAGGATATTTGTGCAACAATATAAATTGTGAAAAAAATTATTAACGATAATACTAGCAACAATGATAATTATAATAATAATGAATTATCATCAAAGTTGGACAATGAAATGAATTGAACAGCATGAAATGAAGTTTTTCAACTACTAAAAATATCTTTGATCTTTTTAAAAAACATCGGAAATACAAACTCTCTTCTACCAGTAAAAAGGTGCTCCAATGTTAGTAAATTTAACAAGATTACTGAATACAACGACCCATAGAAAAATGAAAGATAAGACGTCAGGTTAAACTCTTGTGATGAAATTAAGTAAAATAAATAAGCGAAGATTAGGAATAAAAGTTAATTAACTAATCACAAATAAAAGTTACTGTTACTGAAGTTACAAAAACGGTTGGATAGATAAACCTGAATGCAAAACAAGAAGCTTGATTTGTTGCTCAGTAATATTTGGTTAGAATAAAACTATCTGATTACAATTAACTGACTGATGCTCAAACAAGTACTTCAGTATATTATATATTCATCTATCTAGGCTGCTTTTAAAATATCTAGACAAAGGGGGAAAGAAATGGTATGCTGATAAAATTGCCTAGTGTTTTACTATTCATCATTAATACCGCACTTCATGTTCAGTGGAATTGCCCGATCCATCTGTAATGGCCGGGGAAGATTCAGTTCATTCATAATTTTAACAAATTCTTGCTTTGATTTTGTCAGTCTAAAAAGGGAAACAAATGTACAAATAGGACTATCAGTATCGCCAACATTATGGTTGTGTATTACAGCGAAAAAGATGTAAAAACAATACAAATGAGTAAAACGGAGTTCGAAAAACACACTAAAGGCTTCAGTTCTTTTTTTTAATTTTCTTACCAACTTGAATCCTGGACAGTATATCATTTCCAGTTATGGAGCTTCGTGACCTCTTTGTAATCAAATAGACAGCCATGTGTCAACCTCGCCACGTTAACTAGTTCACTAGTTACTAGCCACTCCTAAGCCCGGGTAGACAAGGAAGGTTGGGCATAGGGCTAGAAACCATATACCGTAAAACAAATCCAACCACTACAGAAACTTCAAAGCACAGACAAAATATAGAAAATAAAAACAAAATTATTCCTCCCTGGAATCGAAGAGGCAAAATGACCCCGGTTGGTGAAAGTCTTCGGGAAGCCAATTGGCCGATGTGTCTTCTCTTCTCTCCATGAAAGCGAAAGTAAACGTGGGGACATGGAATGTCCACACCATGTTTGAACCTACCAAGGCTGCCCAGATTGCAAACGAGATGAGAAGGCATCACATTGAAGTGCTGGGAATTTGCGAAAGTAGATGGAATGGGAGTGGACTCTCCCAACTGTCAGTTGGAGAGGAGAGTCGATAATCTACTCCAATGTTTTCACCCAGACGACAACCACGAAACAGCACACTGAGTTATGGAGTGGCTATAATGATGTCCCCAAGAGCCCCAAAGGCTCTCATACAGTGGGAACCAACTTCCTCCAGCATCAGGATCATGACAGCAAGGTTCAACTCGAAAGGAAGGAAAGTCACAATCATTCAATGCTACGCTATGCACCTACAAATAATGCAGATCAAGAGAAGAAGGAGGAACTCTACAGACAACTGCAATCAACACTGGACAAAACACCACTAAAGTTGGCGATTACAAAATTCTAATGGGTGAGGTGACACGAATGTCAAACTGGGAGCGGAAAACACAGGAAGAGAACTAACCATGGGTCGAGAAGCGCTCGGTGAGGTGATGAACGAGGATGAAGAATTGTTTGCAGAATTCTGTGCATTCAACGATTTGGTGAATCATACAATACTACTCACCTAAAAATAATGCAGATCAAGAGACGGAGGAATTCTACCGACAGATGCCATCAGTACTGCAAAAGACTCCATTTGGCGACATCAAAATTCTAATTGGTGCGGTGACATGAATATGAAACTGGGAGCAGACCACAGTCCAAGTTCAATACCCAGAAGAGAAACTGAACTGAAGGACGAAACTACAAAGGGCATCTCTTCACGTCAGCCATCAGGACAAGATGGGAGACATTAAGCAACATCCCTGAAGCAACCTGCGTGGATGAACACTGGAACTCTGTGAAAGAGATGTGGAAAGAAACATGCACAACCGTATTAGGAAGGAAGAAGAAAGAGGATAAGGAATGGATCTCGATGGACACATGGAAGCTGATAGAGGAGAGGAGGATGGTGAAGTAGAAGACAAATCAGTGCAAGGATACACAACGAAAACAGGAACTGAGTACAACGTATAAAACACTACACTGGACAAAGAAGTGAAGAAGAGTGCACGGAAAGACATGAGACACTTCTACGACACACTGCCAAGTGAAGCAGAACAGGTTGCTGACAGGAGAGACCTGACAACACTATATTAAACAACCAGGTTACTACCTGGGAAGAGATCAACACAGATGAAACCAATGAGAGTTAGTGAAAGAAACTCAGTTACCAAAGAGGAGAAACAAGGGAAACGATGGTTTGACCATTTCAAAAAACTTGAATCGACCACCGCCGCCACCTGCAACTCGTCTAGAAATACCACCAGCAGCCCAGCCACACAACTATCAGTGAACGTAAACCCTCCGACAAAGCAAAAGTGAAGTCCTGAACGACATGAAGTTGCTGAAAGCCGAGGAAGCAGCAGGACCAGATGGAATTCCTCCAGAAGCACTGAAAACAGACGCAAAGACAACAGCGAACATGTTCACACCACTATTGCAGAAGGTTTGCAAAGAAAGAAGGAAAGGTACCTGCCTATTGATTGGAAGAAGGACGATATAAGTCTTTGCAAGGAATGGCGCGGTGTCATGCTACACCACTGTCCACACCAAGCAAAATATTAAGCCGTATCATCCTGGAGAGACTAAAAGATGCACTGGATTCAAATGGATTAGGACCGGAACAGGCTGGCTGGCTGGCTGCCTTCAGGAAGAACAGATCATGCTGGGATGAAATTGCAACACCACGCTACGCATCATCATAGAAAAGAGCATAGGATGGCAGTCAACTGGGTCTTTACCTCAACTTCATCGATTTTGAAAAGGCCTTCGACAGCATTGACCGAGAAACAATTTGGCAGGCAGCCGCTTCAACGCTACGCGTTTAGTGCCACAAACCTTTATCAACCTCATTTAACAACTATATGAAGACGCCACATGCCAAGTAATTCACAATGGGAAGCTCAGTGACGCCTTTGAAGTGAAGAGGGGGAGTAAGACAAGGTTGCCGCCTACTATCACCGATGATCTTCCTGATTGTGGTCGACTGGATCATGCAGCAAACAGTGAGGAGCGAGAAGAGGGGATACGCTGGACCGGGGAAAAGATCCTAGAAGATTTGGATTTCGCCGCTGATGATGATTTATGTCCAATGTCTTGTGGCACAAACTCGAAGATCTACAGGCAAAAGCTAACAAGTTGATAGAAGAGGCAGCGAAGACGGGACTTCCTTCACGTGAACGTAGAGAAGACAGAGGTGATGAAGATACTCAACCAACAACAACAAGAACCATCAACGGGAGAAACTTGTAGGAAGTAGTCTCTTTCATCTATCTAGGCAGCACTGTTTCAACTACAGGCGGCGGCACAGATGAGGATATCAAAGCCAGGATCAGAAACACAAGAAGACAGGCCTTCCCTCATTAATCTGAAGTCAGTGTGGAGATCTACTGCACTGCACTGCACTTCACTTCACTTCACTTAGCCTAAAGTGTGAACAAGATCCGGATTTTCAACACTAATTCAGTCAAGTAAGTCAGTGCTTCTATGTGATGGTTGAGAGACTTGGCGGCGCGTTACGAGAAGCATTTCCAACAAACTACAGACATTCATTAACAACTGCTTACGCTCGTTACTGAAGTTCAGATAGCCAGGAAGAATAAGCAACAAGGAACTCTGGCCTGGTAAATAACCAACCAAGAACCTATGGCCCAACAAATATGCAGAAGGAAGTGGAGATGGATTGTATTGGGCATACTCTGAGTAGGCCGATCGGGGACATCACGCGCCAGGCCAGGCTAGACCAGACCAGACCGTCGAGTGGAATCCGAAGGGGAAACGACGAGTTGGGCGTTCGAGACGAGGGTGACATGGAGGAGATGGTGTGAGGAAGAAATGAAAGCTTGTGGACAGTTGTGTAGCCAGGTTGAAAAGACTGGATAGAAGAGAGTGAAGTGGGGACGTTGCACTGGGAACCCGGGGGATTATTAATGGTAAAATAATGAATATTATTTACCGAATCCTCAAGTTTTTTCAAAGCATCAAATGTCAACTTGTTTGTCAATCTGTTTATTGAGGTGACGATTTCGTCATGGACTGCTAATTAGATTTCAATAATTATTTCGAACGTGATCGGTCATCGGTTATCGATTTCACGAAATGCTACGAAGCCATGTGCATACAAATCTGTTTGACCTAATTGTTTTCTTTGTTCAAATAAGTAATGTTTTCTAGATGGCCAATAACAGCTTTAGGATTAAATCATCCTGGTTTAAAACATGGGGTGTAAAAAAGTCAGCATCCTGAATTCTCCTAAGTATTATTAAGGGATCCATGTTTGTGCAACAGAAGAGCATTTCTATCTAACGTAAGAGTCTACGTACACTGTTTATAAAAAACTAGACTTTTTAAATAGGAATAATCTGTTAGTGACCATAAATAATCAGAAAGTTCAACTACCAATGAAGTCAAATCACGAAAAGCAGTAGGACTATAAAACTGAATTCAGGTTGTGTGATAACCTTATTATGTGAAGCTCAAGATATCATCTAGTAAATAATACTATATCACTGTGTGCTATGTTCATAAGTTTGCCTTCTCTTACCAAAAACATTCAGTGAACACGGTCAAATGCTCATATATATATATATATATATATATATATATATATATATATATATATATATATATATATATATATAGGGAGAGAGAGAGACTTACCGGGGGTTGTAGGCTTTTTCTTCACCAACACTAGTCATTGTATGGCCCAGATAATCATGAGCAGGGAACAATATATAATCATCTGGAAGAGTGAAGATCTGTGAGTGAACAGAGTCATAGAGAGTTTCGGCCGAACCTCCTTGAAAATCAGTCCTTCCACAACCTCGAATCAGAAGTGCATCTCCAGTAAACGCAATACCAGCAGAGTGTAATACCAAAGTCATACAGCTTATTGTGTGTCCTATTATGTCAATAAACATTAAACAACAGTGATTCTAGTGAGTTGCAGAGGATACGTTAAATAACGATATTCTGTTTGAAATTGTTTTTGACTAAAACTTAGAACGTTTAATATATAAAGTAAGAAGTAGTTGACTGTTCTATAGTTTACTACAAATACTTCAAGTCATTTCAGTTATAATAGTATCACATTTTCGATGATACAGTTTTGAAACGTCAGGCTGAATATGCTTTGTCCTACAGGACTGTAAATATTTGGTAACCTCATTTCAACAAACGCAAAATGCCCTTAAAATGAACTTGAAGAGACGAGGATACTTATTTTTGTTAGAGTCGTATCAGGCTCTACATTCAAATACGATACTTTTTACTACGAAACATACGCAATTCCAGTGGTAATATGAACTTTAAACGTGACAATCATTTGCACAATCAACTAATTTTCAGAGATTAGAATTACGTGGCAATTCATTTTACAGGATTTAGACTAGAAAATAAATAAAAGGACTAACAGATACAAATATTATTAGTTACAAATGTAGTCTAAAAAATCATGAAAGGAAGTGGGCGACTATTGAATACCAGTTTAAATGAAATACGAAGTTAAAAATTGAATAGTTAAAGTGAATAGCGGTCAATCATGTTGAACATATACAAGTCAGTTTAGTTATTATGTACCCCAAATATGACTTGCATCTTACCTCATGGAAGTGGGAGAACATGAGAATACATAACATTTCATCGTGCATAGAGTTTAGGTCTCATAATTTTGATTAGAAGACGAGTTTTTTCGGCATCTGGCATAGTTCAATTACTTGATAAGTACTGAAAAAGAATATAGTGTTTATATTGTAACTAGTATCTTTAGTTGAAAGCTTTTGACTTTTGTTTTACTTTTCGTTTTGCCATAGTGAAAGATGTTCTTCCACACGCACTGAAAAGGTTCTCATAGTTAACCAGAACTAATAGTCCATAGGTGGGCTGTTAATGAAAAAGCCACATTCGAAAACGTAATGTTACTTATAGATATGAAAATATGTGATAAAAATGCAGATGATTAAGAAATAGATATACCTGGAGTACTTCGGCATTCCAACTCAAAGTTCCCAAACTTAATAACATCGTGATGTTTTACCTCTATATCACTTTTGGCCCCCTCATAATGAGAAAGTACACTGAAAGACCCGGGAATTCGTTTTAACAGCCCACTGCCAGTAACATGATCTGCATGCAGATGAGTATTTATTATGGGACCCAGCTTGAGATTCAACTGAGACAACTATAATACAACACATAAATAACACGAGATAAACAGTTCTCAGAAATACCTGTTATAAAGTCAACATACAACAAAAATGTACTCAAAAGCAGACTGATTTGACATCTGTTCTTTGGACCTTTTTTTAAGGGAATGAGATGAATCGGTTAAAAAAATTAAGCACTAGTCTTATTGACTAATATCAATGTGCAACCATGAAATATGACTTAAGGAAGCTGGGGGTGGTTTTGAGTAATTAATAAGCTGGATGAACTGCCAGCTGCCATGGTAGGGGAAACCAGATTAAGTTAGAAGAGAGTCCGAGTGCCCATACTAAGATGTAGAACCAGTCCATGAAGTCCCTGACTGTTGGTCTGAGTCAGGTGATGCGATGTAGACTGCCTGATTGGAGTCCCCGAGACGAAAGGAATAATCGCTTGAGGAATCTTGGTGACAGCTGAAAATCAGTCACAATGGTGCAGATTTATTCACTTGTTGACATCTTAAGTTTGAATATTCACACTAACTTTTATCTCCAAATGATTTATTCTCTCACACTACTTTATCTGTTTTGATATCAGCCTTTTTCTACCCACCTGTTCTGTGTACTACTGTGAAGTGTGACAACTAGAACCTATGCATTTGTGTGGGAGGTTCCACATTGATTCTGTCTGCCTGACGCTGAACAAGGATACATTATCTGCAGATGACATTAGATCAAAGTAAATAAAGTCTGGTTCTTAAAATTTACTTGGTAACTAAGTTTAGTATATAAGGTAAAACTAATATGATAAGCGGTCACTGGAAAATGACTGTTATATTTAGTTCTTCATGTTAATCAAAATACAAAAATGCGATCGGGTATGATCACTACTTTAAGTGACTTTTTGTATGCAGTGCATATAGTTACCACGTAGGGGATAGACACTGATTAACAAGTAGTGAACAACGGAGTATTTTCTACCTGGCTATCATCAGTTACAGCTACAGGGTAAAACGTCTCCTAGGTGGAATAGTCGATTAATGCAATCACAGTACTTTAAAACTGTCTTACAGTTGTAACGTATATATAACGGGGAAATAAAAAACATGTAATTCTGATTCACTAAGACAAAGGGGTGCGTGATATATAGGGTTGCCAACCTGCACTAGTTAGGGTAGCTTGAATATAAACTATATGTTTATAGCCTCTGTTCACCGTAATGGACAATTTTAGAAAAGGAAAAACTGATTACAATACATGAAATTGGTCTCGAGTCTGATTGGTTCTAAAGATTTAGTTTCTGGAGTGACAGAACGTTGTAGTCCTGGGTTTGACCTCAAAGACATAGATACCGTTTTTCCTTTTCGCTTCATGAGTTTTACCTTCAGTTGTCTTAGTTCTATGCATCCATTGTGCTTGTACACCTTTACAAGTTTTCAGTATTTTTCCTGTTTGGTATGGTATGCTATCTAGCCTTTTTGAATGATACTACTGTTTCTAAGTCAATTACACATTCAGTTACAGGTTACTTGAGGAAATCATGCTTGAATGGTAGTTTACATTGTTTCTACTACGTGCAATAACAATATGTTCATATTTGTCTATTAGACAATGAAACATGTATGATAACTAATATACACCCGAGTATCTATATATAGGGAAAAATAACAGATTTATTACCACATAGTCGGTAAAAAAAACATGATGACTCAATCTCCTCAAATTTATTACACTAAAAACTAATCATTCTCATTTTTGATCTGTCCGAAAAAAACAAATTTGAAAAACTTACAAGTTTCATATCGCGTTCAACAGTTTCCAAAACGGGATCTATTATGACAGCATCTCTGGTTTGTGAATCAGCTAACAGATAAGTGTAAGTAGAGGAAATCTTCTCAAATAATTGACGAAATATTAGTGGACCACCGTTGGCAATTAAAGGAACTCTAGATGCCATTATACGTTTATCAGGATACTGTGACACACACTTAAGAAAGCAACATAATTATGATCTGAAATCATTTCAATGATAAATTCAAAAGAAAGCTAGATAATGGTCCCGCATAAGAATAATACATTTTAAACCTCAAAAATGATAACAAAGGTGTCAATAATGTTGAAACTTATTGTTTTAAAAAACTGACTCTTATTTCTTTAAATTCGATCCCACCTATCAGCATTAAGGCAAACAGTATCACAATACATTTAACTTCACCTATAGCAAAATGCTATACATGGTTATGGAGCCACATATTAAAGCATATTTAATGCTTGAGCACCAGTGTAAAAGCCTCTTCAGATGTGAATTCATCCTAAAAAGACATCGGTTTACGTTCATATAACGAAGCAACAACAGGATACTTTACTGAACGTTTACACCAAAGTTTACTTCGCATTATTTTTAAAACAACAATCTAAGATTACCAGTTTATAAGCCAGTTATTTGGAGTATACTGTACAGAAATCGAAGACATTAATAATATGCTGTAACTTCTTCACTGTCACTAAAACTGTCCAGCTACATTACGGACGCTGATGAAGTAATGTGTTAACTTTGAAAATGCAAGTGCTAGTTTATTACTTATTTCTGTACAAGTACCTCGACCTATTTTTCTCACATGTTATGACGTTTCTTCATCGTACTGCCAATGTTTTAGGCCTAATATTTATAAACGCTAGTGATACTAGTTTGATACATGTGATGAGTGCATGAGATTGTACTAGTGAGAACATCAAAGTCAAGAGCACGAGGGACGTCACAACAGAACAGAAGGTCGACTGTGATTAGGTTATTATTATTATTATTATTATTATTATTATTATTATTATTATAACACAAACGTGGCACATCAAGGGTCCAAGAAATGCGGTACACAAAATGTTATGACAATATTATGAAGACATAGAGCAAAGCGAAGTGGACAAAAATAAAACACAATAAGAACAGAATGATTAGAAGAGCAATCCAGTGAGGTACATTCGCAACAGAACATTACTTACATCACATTACTTTTCAGCAGCAGAAGATGGGAGGAAGCTACAGCATGATCGCCACTGGTTTTGGTTATGAGCGATATCTGATAACGTCCCAAGCCACTGAGTTGCTTGATCTCTCGGACCCCATCCAGAGAGTGGTGATACACCAACAGATGCCGACCCAATACAACTACCCTTCATCCCACAACGCCATGTCATACACTGATCACCCCTCTGCTTCTCTCCAGTCCCAGAGTTAACAAACAATGAACGGTGTGGAAGCCGTTAGGATGACAAGTGTAATACATGTTCAAGCCACTGAAGCCGATGTTTCCAGATGACTTCACTTATTGAATGACGCTGTCTATTATGCTCTCTATCAAACACATATCGTACCCCAGGATTACTTAAATGGCGTCCTCACTTTTCGAGCTGATAGATGGGGGACCAGCTCGATGCACTTCACCTTGTACGTGGCTCTCTGAGATGCAGCACACACCAATGGTGAGGCTTTCCAGAGTCCTAGCCAAACCTGCCTGTTGTCCGATCTGCATCAGGGTGCGAACGTTGAAGGTGGTGAGCCTAAACGATATGCGTGGTTTCAGGATAGCTGTGTCAGATGGCACACTGGAAGACAGCTATACAGGGGTAACTACTTCGCGTCTCAAAACGGTACAGACAAACCACAAGTCTAGGAAATGGAGAGCAGCTGAGTGAAGTGAAGATGAAGACAAAAGCGAAAGTGAAAATAATAAAAAAATACAGTTCATATGAGGCTGTAGGGCTTATTGAACCTGATGTTTTTAACTATACCCCGTCAGAACTAACTGCTTTTCATCAAGTGTATTTGAGGGATCAACTAATTACGAAAGTGAGGTACTTGTGTGGATTCCAATAACGGCACTTTTATGTAAGAAACTGAAATCACCTTTAAAAAGGCTCCACTAATTTACATAACATCGTTTAAGATTATCATTTCGGAAAAACATGTTTCATTTTATCCTTTGGAAAATACAAATACAAAATCCTATACGTGTCACCGAAGCTTTCAACAAGAATACATTATTTCCGGGAATTTCTGTGATAGAGAGCATAGTTTTTGAAAAATATATGGAAAGGACGCAAACGTTAAAGAAATTTCGGGTAAACATGCGAACTGAGGTAAGTGGGGAATAATTGCTGTTATCCAGTAAAATTCCCTAAAATACTCTACCTTCCCCGAAATTTCTACATTTTCTTTAAACACTCAACAGAAAGTTAGTCCTAATATTTTCTCTCAAAAAACTCAGATCCCTGCATTCTGTTTGGTTACACATACAGATCCATATATGTAAGCTTTCAGATTGAATCTTAAGTGAAGAAATTGATAAAAGATACTACTAATAAAGAAACATCAACATTAACACAAACGCGCATTCGGTGGATATCAGCTGAATGATGTGCATAGGAAATTACACACAGTTATTTTGCTGTGTTCGACTTTGGTTTTTGAAGAAAACTGATTTTTGTGATCTATTAAATACTGCAATAAAGATTTTCAGGGAGGATATAGAAATTAAACGACTTGGGGTTAGGTTGGAGATTGTAAGTGTCAGTAGATTTTACGCTTTTAAGCGTATTGCTTTTTGAAAAAATGTGATGCACATGCTGAATAAATACTTTAAACAGGTCTCTCTTTCAATATCTAGATGCTAATTAATACTAGTTGTATGGATATGCTGGTCAGGTGACTTCCGCACTGTGAAATTATGTAGGTGGTATACCTATTTCGTTTCACGAAACTACACATGGAAACTAATGGAAAATACTATCTACATGACCCGAAGCAACCATCAGTGTACGTGTACGGTTAAACACACTCGAAAACAGAAACATTTCCATGTTCTATGCCTATGGTGAGTGGCAAATGAGTGAATTTCAGTCACTGGATCATATTTACTGAATTACCATTCGTCTTATTCGTTTTTAGGCTGAGAAATGTTAGCCAGGACTATTCATATTCTTTGTTTAACAGTTTGGTGTTCAACTGAAAACAAAATTAGAATGGTATTTATGCCTTAGTCACGAGGGATGAGTCTCAACATCACGTGAAGTTATCTTACTGCGCACACATCTGAGTTCATTATGGGGATACTACTGATATACTTTAACAGACTACAGATAATGTAAAGATATGATTTACGTAAGCTAGCTCGTTGACTAAATATTATTAGGCAGATGTTGGTATTCAGTATTAATATCAAAGTCAGTGTAGTACAGAATGTAGTGGTTGAGTATGGCTGTGGTTGATGCTACAGTAGTGAAGTATTTTGGGAGTTTGTCTGGCTTGATGCACATTTCTCTTCCTCGGAAATTGTGACAGATATCCTTACAGTATATTCCGCATAGTTCATAACACCGAACCTTGAAGATTACTCACATTAAGGCAATTACGGCTTCAGTCCTGTTGTTTTTTTACCTACTGAAAATTAGGACTAATTTCCAGTGTAGCAAGTAAAGTGGGTAGCTCACAATTTTGCTTCATTTTTACTTCTGCATCCACACATGTTAGAAGCTGTAACGTTACAACCTATGCATCAATAATCGAATTCTAAAAGTGTCTGACAGCCGAGGTGAGTGATTCATGTGCAGTGTTTTTTCATTAGTCTACAAAGTGGATATTAAGTCTCTGCTTCGTTATATTAGCGTCTGAGCTTTAAAGCTCAACATATTTCATGGATCTGCTAACCATCATTGGTGCATAATCAGGATAGTGATCCTTCCTGTCTGTGTACCAAAGATTTGGATATTTGAAAACTGTACCCAATACCTATGAATTCCAGACTGCCTTGATCCAAATGTTGTTGTCCATGATAATGTGCATGCTGCAGACAGCATCCATCAAGCAACTGTGCACAAAGATTCCAGGAAATCGGTTGGTGGCCAAACTGCGAAGCCTCGATGTAAAAGCCCATGTTAGCCATTGTTCTGATACTTACTTTTCCCTCAGCTAAACTTCAACATAAATTACGAATGCACAGGTCAACATTACATTGTAGAATGGCGAAGAACGCCTTCAAACGGAAATGTATTTACCAGGTAAGTATGAGGCATGCCGTTATTCTGCTAGAGCTAAATCCTTCCGCTTCTCCCATCATAGTTGAAGAGACAATGCCTCAGTGCTGTACCAGTGAGGGTTGGCCATTATGTTATTTGACTTCATTTATTAGATGAAATAATAATTTAAACCAAATTTATAAACGTTTGTCGATAAGATACATACGTATGTGTCTTATCGTCAGTTTATCATACACATTATAAACGCAAACATATATACGAAGCAAAGGTATATATATATATATATATATATATATATATATATATATATATATATATATTCCATTGTTTCATACTCATTTTCACATTACATTAGAATCCAGTAAGAAATTCCGGTTGAACTGTTGGTTGTAAGGAAGACCAAAAGAGGAGGAGAAATAGTTCTCACCAGGCAACAGTTATGTCTACCTCGATTAAACTAGCAATGTTAAAGTACGTTTCAAACCCTGTATTTACGTATCGATCCACTGCAAAAAACTACTCATATGTAACAGCGAACATATACAATTAACAATTACTAGGACATACTCGGCAGAAGAGTAATAAAAGCCGAACACTGCCATCGTCCGACAGGCCGAATTGAACAAGCGCCTTACGACTTGGAAACCAATCAGGATGCTGTCTTGTGACCATTGTAAGGTCATTTCCCGCCATCTTAGTGGGCAGTGTTGGAAGATTGGTTTCGTGTTAACGAGTATTTTGTTGATTTATAAAGCTTGCACGGGTAGTTGACGTTCTTAATTTATGAATTTTACTCATTTAAGCTCCGTTTATGGCACTGTCTTCGTTGGTTGCCTGTTTCGTTAACTGCGTTTATTGTTTGCGATGTTTGGGGATACAGGTCAGTTACAAAAAGCGTGTTTTTTGCATATTTGTCCGTTAAAA